CGTCTTGATCTTTTGTCCTAGATTTAGCGAAAACAATATTTAACAGTTCCTTTAAATATTTTTAAATTATTATATTAATTAATTTAATTTTTAAATATTTTTACGCTGTACCTATATTTAATTGTATTTTTAGTGTAAGACGAGAAATAATATAAAAATAACGCCATTCAAAAAGAACTTATATTCAAGAACACTTTAAATTAATTTTAAAAATCAAATACTTTCCCAAATATTTAAACATAATATAAAAGGAATGGGGATGAAAAGATGGTTTAAGAACAGAACAGAATCTGCGAGGTGTATGATCCCGTTCAACTATTTCATAATGCCAGAGGCATTAAACTTAATAAAACAATTTCCATAGAAAATACATTTTACATTTCTACTTATATAATGTTATACATCCTACGAGTTTTATTTACTTAATAATAATACATGAAACTATACAATTATGTTTTTGTTTTAGTTTATATCCTATATACTATTAAATATAATATTAAAATTTCAAATAACTTATTATTAAATATCTTTATGTATTTTCAAGAATCCCTTAATAAACCTACGTAATTTATTACAAAATATAAAAATTCGTGCCTGAAATTCAGTTAGTACAATTTAGTGAGTTATACATTTTGTTAGTTTAGGTCCCGTGCTATAATTTATGGATTACTAGACTGATCCATAAATATGTTTTATCATATAAGTAAATTGAAGTACTTAATATTGCTATTTTAAAATAATGGTTGATGTAAAAAGAGTGAAAATTTAGGGTTGTCTCAGACCTGAATGTTGCGTGTACATTCAGGTCTGAGACAACCCTAAATTTCATAAGAATCGATGAAATTTCGGAGGAATTTTGTTAGAAAATTTTATATGTTAGATAATGGCACATCCGTATTAGAGAATGATATGTTGAACATTACGTCAGGTCATAAGTTCAGTTAAATGAATTAGATATCGTATTCACTAGAAATTAACTGGAATTAATTGAAACTGAAAATAACGATCGTGTCCAGGGGGGCCGCGTAGGTCGACGTAGTATATACTCGTATATTACTAATAATTAGACCACTATTCTCTACTACTAACGATCCCATCTCCTGACCTGATATGAAGAGACCCTTATCATGGTATTTAGGGTGCCACTCCTAAAATTTGACCCGGGTTTCTCACCGTTCAACCGAAACAACACAAAGCAAGCTACCTCAGGCTAAAATAAGTGAGACAAAGGTACTGACGCGGATGACTTTAAAATCTACAATTGAATTAGTAATATATTTCACCATATTACTGTAAATACAAAAGTTTTATTTTATTTATTAATTAGAAATGCATTTTATGGGTTGATTTCAATTTTTGTCATTCCTCACAGTTTGTACAAAATCCGGATCGGAATCCAAAACGTCTAAATAACCGTTCTCATTATCCAGATTTAATTTTCATGTTTAGTCTTTTTCATGATTTTTATATCAACTATTGAAATACAACGACAGTTTTTTTGTATGAATTTAATCAGTATGAAATAATATACAAATTTTGTGTAATGGTATTACCATTCCACAAAATTTGTGTATTATTTCAGAACTCAATCACGGCGCTATTTAGGCCACTCCTAAAATTTGACCCGGCACATTCTAATTTATACGGTGCATATCCGGTTTACGGGTTTATCAACGATATATCCGGGCGGAGAGCGAGTCGACCGTCACATTCGTAGTTCCGTGACATACGGCTATTGCCGCCCATTTCAATATGTGTAGTTCCGGATCGTAATAGTTTCGAGTAACATGCTCTCTACAAAGTATAGGACACTAGCTTTAGCTTTAAGAGGGGCTAAGGATTTTCGCTTAAGAAAAATCATTTTTTTTTAACATATCAAGAATATATCCTTTAATTATAATATAAGCAATATTCTTAAAGTTATTGTCTTATTAATCTCCTGGCCTTTAACTGCTGGCGGTCGGGATTTCAGTGCAGCTGTCAAACAGGTATACAGTTTATTCATTGCTAAAAAGAGGCTGAAGACATCGACAATGCTACAGGAAATCTGCTGTATGGAGCTGGAATCGATAATTCTGTGTAAGTTGCAAAAAACCTTTTTTTCTCTTTTTTTTTCCATGAAGTTTAGACGCGTATTTCTCAACTAAACTAAACTAAAGTTTTAAAACTACTTTTTTAAAGTCCGTGTTCACTGCCATTTAAAAACTACTTGACGATTCATTTCACACTTTATACACTTTTTTGTACATTAAGGGTGTTTATCACCCTCAAAATGGCGGAATTTTTCGTGGAAAATAACAATTCACAATTTAGATGGCCGCCAAAATTTTTAAATGAAAAAAAATTATCAGAAAACGTTGGGGGTAAGATTTGATTATAATTTAACAAATTTTCATGGTTTTTAATTTTCAGATAATTTCCGGCCGAGTTATGGTGAACACCGCAAATTGTTTTTTTCCCAAGATGTTCTGAGGGCAGCTGTTTTTTTATTTCTGCATGAAAAAATTACACAACATTATACAAAAGTATTCCCAACAATGTACAAAAGGTTCAAATAAAATTGTTCAATCCATATTTGAGAAAAAAAATGATTTTTTTACGCTTAGTCCCTTACCCCCTCTTAAATAGCGACTTGATACGTGTCCTTGGATTGCATTAAATATTTAATAACCAAACCCAAAGAAAGCAAAAAAAAAAGATTAATCGTTCTTCCATACAAAATACTAACAATACAAACAAACAAACAAACAATCTACAAAAAACCTAAAAATAAGATTCAACCTCTATATTTAAAAATGACGATACTTCCATACAACCTTCCATCTCCCGTTTCAGCCCCTTACAAACCTTTTTTATTTTAAAAAGTAGCCTAAGTTCTTTCTCAGGATCTAGGCTATTTATGTACCTAATTTTATTTAAATCGTTTCAGTATTTTGGCGTGAGAGCGCTTCAAACAGACAGACGGCGTTAATTTGGCATTTATAATATTTGTAGGTATAATACCTAGTGTTCTCTCATTCAATATAAACATGTTCGATAAAAGTCACATTAATCAATCTGACGAAAAAAATGTATAAATAGATGATTAGTAAATGATTACGCATATCTTATTACTCCATGAATTCACCATACAGATGCCAAGTCTACTTGATATGGGTGTAAGTTTAAAAGGCTCCCATTGTAATCCACATCAATATTCATTTTCACTCCCATTGAATATCCCTATCTAACCACATCTGCTAATGCAGCATTGTATATTCGTTCTTATATATTCTCAGTTGCATAAATTCCAGAATAAAGATTTATTTACTAAATTTATCTTACTTATTATACTACGTCTTTCTTTGATTTTTAAATTCCTTTTGTTTAATTTTTATAACAATTAGTGGTTGTATAGGATATTTCGTTGTTAGATTATTAGATATGCATTTTTGTACAGTATATATGTATTGTTTATTACATCATTTATTATTAATTTTTATTATTTACACCGCCAACTATTATTATCTGTACCACCGATGGTTGACAAGTGGTACTATTAATGCCGCATAGGGTTATGTATATGTACTTTAAAATTGTATATTAAAGTTGTATAAATAAAATTATTTTTGACAGCCTCGGTAGTCTACTGGTTTAGCACACCACTTTACTATCCGATGGTCATGGGTTCGATTCCTCGTACGATACAAACATTTGTATTCTTGAGTATGATTGCTTGTATCAGTCTGGGTGTTTTCTATGTTTAATACGTATTTATTTACAAAAACAATGTATCCATGTATTTATATCAGTTGTGTAGTACCCATAATATAAGCTCTGCTTAGCTTGAGACTAGATGGCGCTGTGTGAATTGTCCTGATATATTATTTTTATTTCAGGTCACGTCAAACGACCGAAAGTCAAAACAACCAAACATTGCATTCCGTCACAATTAACATTAGCAATTGTTAGGATCAACTATTCACCCCGTCAGTTCCTTGATAATTTCCCTATATACTGTTACTAACTTACGAAATTGAGCATCGTACAGTGTAAGGTTATATTGATACAGAGAGTGTAGATACGACCAAATAACTTGAAAACTATTTTAGTACTTCGCGACCGCAGTAACAATTTAACGTACACGAGCGTTTAACAGCAAATACTTCATCTATGGTTCAGTTCTATAAACCATAAAATTGTCTATGTTGCTATAAAATATAAAATTTGCCATTACTGTCTATAATTTTTATATATTTATTCATTTTTCAGTACACAAATAAAATGTATGTAAATGATGGATCTATTGCGTTACCGTATTATCTAATAGTCAACCATCTCATCATTGAACATTAAATATGCATAAGGCGGTGAATTTTGATAGGAATAAGGAATAAAATATTCTAATAGAAAATAGCGTATGTTAAAAAATATTTTACTAATTTATATTTAACTCGCTGATACTGTAGTTTTCGATAGACGAAAGACTTTTTATAGCGGATAAGTATAATATTTCTTGAGTCTTCCATTACAAACAAACGTATAACATTTAATCCTTATGTCTTTATATTAATTCAAATAATAGTGCCATCTTTGTATTATGGAGAATATTATAGATTTTTCGAGATTATATACTATAATTTGTAACTAACAGTGATAATAAACTAATAAGCTAATAAGATGAAATCAACAATAAATAATTGCAGATAATCCTAAAACAAAATTTAAATTCTTTGATTTATAATTCTATATAAAATAGTATCATTTCATGCACAGCAGTCAAAGAAAATTTGATGGTTTTATTATTAAGAAATATATTATAGTGCTATGTATATGCGACTTTATGATTATCGACATATAAAATACCTTGCTGTACCATAAAGAAAAAAAAAATCTAGGTACTCTATGGTATGGTAATGGAACAAACGTCCATTAAGTGTCGATGAAATAGCAAATTATTATATGTGCTGATTAATGATACCAAATATATTACTTTAATAATTACGTTAACGAGTAAAAACCTGATCTTGAACGGCTGCCAGACTGCGAAATGCAGTCGGGTGGTGATTCGGGGAGCGGCCTCTTTCGACGTCGACGCAGCATGTCCCTCCAACGGCAGAGTATAGCTGTCCTGAAGTACGTCCTGAACCTATAAAAAACATTGAATGTCTTTAATGTTCTTTTTTTAATTTAACTACGAGTTGATGAGTAGCCTTTAATATAAAGGAAAACAAAATTGGCAAGGGAAACGAGTTCTCTTTTTAAATTTATTACTTTTAATTTTATGAAAATTTCGCGGGTAAACTTTTTAGGCAGCATCTTGATGCATGCGGTCTCAGGTGGTGAAATGCGGTACGTTATTACATTATATCCGCCGCACTGAAAAGCAAGTAACACGGCGCCGTTACTTTAATTTGGGGAAATATGCATTTAGTTTTGCGAAGCGAAAACTATTTCGTATCCCTTGTGAGTTTTGTCATGCTTCCAACTTAATTTTAATTCATGTACATTATATATGTGGAATATTAACAATTAATATTTAACAACTAGAATAACATTTTTATGTTTTACATACATTTATATATCTACTCGTAGTGTTTATTCCCTACATATGGATCTACTAAAAGAAAAGACTTAGGTACAGGAAGATATAATTTTATAAGGATACTAGAGCATAAACAATACTCAAAATCTATAATAATTAAACTATTTGAGGGTGTCAAATGTTTTCTTTCCATCGCATTGAATTTAGACTTCTTAGCTACAATATATAGTGCAGTACTGAGAACATAATAATACCCACCATCTGTATCCTATATATTTTTATGACATAGCTTCTACTAATTTTCTTATACTTAACAAGAAAAAACAATAAGTGAAGTAATTACTAATATTATTTATCGAGTTGTAGGTACTAAATACTTTATTGGGTTAAAAATAACTATATTTATTTATTCATATTTATCAAAATCATTTAGCTCTTAGACATATTAATATGTTTACTTTTATTTATTTTCTACAGATCCAAATGTAGATATAATCAAGAAATTATAGTATATTGCGCATTTCAATGTTTTTTATACATATATTAATATCTTTAGCACTACGATATTATTATTATTTATACTAACGTTACAGTATATAATTTTAATGTATTTAACATATTAGATATATTATTACCAAGAAATCTACATCTAGAGTTTTTGATCTGTCTACCTAGATACTTGGAATACTGAAATGATTTTAATTATAATTCTGTCTTCCAACTAAACGATCAAAGACCAATATATTCCAGGAACCAACTATCTTCCTCAAGTAATTTAAGACTAATATAAAACACTCTTCTGAATTGGCACTATCTCTTTATATTCACTTTGTGCGATGTGAAGGACCGACATAAAGTTTCACTAATAAACTGCCTCGTATCCACTTACAATTGCGGGTTTTATATCATAAAACAAGTTGTATCTTCGCCCGTTACTTTCATTGATATCTTTTGTACGTGACTTCTATTTGATAAATGTATGTCTATTTGTATTATATTACAATACTTGTGCTTAATACGCATCACATCGAAGGGAAGGGAATTATTAGCAATTGCATGAAAATCATTAAGATCAATTCCAGATGACTTCATAACTATGAACTAACAGACAAGTCGGCCTAACAATTTCGATGTTAGTATTAATTTGACCCATTTATAAAATAAATATGTTGAACTATGATGCATATACATATCTTTTTATAAATGGATTACAGTGCAGCACCGTTCATTATAATTAATTAAAAAATACTAATGGCGATACACAGCTTGTATTAAAAATTTTTTTGCTATCTATTAAAACTATGTATTTACAATATGTATATATTAGATTAGATAGGAATGGATGGGATTATGAGTTGTAATGGAAATGTTATAACCTCATAGAATAGAATAGAAAATCATTTATTCAAATAAACTTACATTGAAGCACTTTTGAATAGTCATAACATTTTTTTTTTAATCTACCGCTCATTCGGAATGTTGTCTCATCACAAGAAGAACAAGCAATAAACTTGTGAGTTGCTCTTTTAAATAATTTATTCTTACTTACAATTTAAGTTTAAGTCTGTGAATACAAACCACCGATTAGCACTAATTTAATGAAATAATAAAATAGAAAAAACATTCTATATACAACAACTGGTTAAACAATTAATAAGTGATAGTGATTAGAGCAGACCAGTCCACACAAGCAGCACCCGTTCACGAGTATGACGGATGAGCCAGCCACCAGCCACTGCGCTCGACCATATTTTAGGGAGTCCAATGACCCGGCCCACCACGCCGCCACAAGTCTGGACATTTTAGTGAGCATGACCACTCAAAACACCAGACCATGTCATAGCTACTCACAATTGCCATCTGATGGTTATAGTATTCACATTTCACATAAGATTGCATGCGGCAATCAATACAAAAACCGCTACGCTTTCATATTTCTAAAATAATTGAATCAAGAAAGCAAATTAAAACGTTGTATGCTAATAAACTAATTATTTACTTGATTATGATGTCGTCTATGAATTCGTCTATCCTGTAATAGGCTTTCTTACACAAAAATTGTTTAATATAAGATTTGAATTGCCTCTCTGTCAGATTTAGTGCAGATTCTGGCAGTTTATTATAATAAGTGGTCTTCTCCATTTTGAAACAAAAACCTTATGCGGGGTAGTTTAGCCACTACCTACGTAATTCTCTATAAAGAACTAGGAGAATAGAAGTTGACAAGAGTTATCTATATTACTTACTTGGCATTCATCCAGTAATAAATTAGTGGGTTTACCATGGCATTTGCCATGGCTAGCCAGTAGAACCCGAGGTACACATGTTGAACATATTTCATATACAATATTGAAGGGTTGAAGTGAGTGTAGATGAAGTACGTGTGGTAGGGCAGCCAGCATATACCAAATATCACAATTACTAGAATGAACATTTTCACAACCTGAAACAGAAATAAAGTATCAAATACTTGTTTATAGCATATATAAACATATACTGATATACAATAATAGAAAAAACAACATACATTTAAAAAAGACGTTTAGATTAAATTATGAATCTGAAATCTATCTTTTCAATTGAAAAAACTCTAAATCTGTTTATAAATGACGAAGTTTTGATTTAAAAAAGGATAAGGGAGAAGCCCTCATTAATTCAGACAGAAACAAGTTTATATTTCGAATAAAAATATTGTACAAAATAGATTTATATATTTAATATGGCTGATACACCACACCTAAAGACTAATATTTATAAAATCACAACATCTTCAAACTCATAACATCCTACTGTTTTGCGAGATTTATTTTATACGCTTTATTATACGATTAACTTCATAATATTCAGGTTGTTCTGAGGGTCGTTCTTTGTGGCAATCTATAAAAGGGATTTGCATCGTAAATCCAACATACTACATATAAATGTAAACTACTGTCGTTTGATAAACAAGCTAATAAACAAGTAGCAACAATTAGTTTTCGTAGTTTAATTATGCGGGTCGTATTCAAAGCCCTTTCTATAAGTACTCTTGACTGCTCTATATTAGGCAGACAGTTCAATGAAGACCAATTAAAATAGATCGGAATTTGGAAACAATTCCAGAAATGCCATTCACCTAAACCTACTCAAGTGTACGAGGGTCATGCCAAAAGAAATTAGACGACTTCTTTTACTTAATGCATATTTATAACTTTAAAAATGGAACGTTAATTAATTTTATTTTTTTTAATTCTTTTATTCCAAGAGAAATGCACACAAATTTAAGCAAGAAATAGTAGATTTATGATAACCTATGACTTGGCAGAATATCCCATGTTCCTCGCCTGTCCGAATTCGAATTATAAAACAACAACCAAGAAAATGGGGCAAACTGTTCACAGTTCACTCAGGCTTGCGTTACTAGGAACAAACAACTTTAGTATGAATCGGTGATACCAATTCTTTTGGCACGGCAATTTTGCAAGCTATTGTTTGGATAAATTCATTTTTATCGTCATGTTCAAGCCCGCCTCAATTGAAACAAAGCAATTTATGTGTGAAACTGGACAAGTTTTTCATTTTTAGAACCATTTCAGGTTGCTGTGTAGAATCAATTTTGGTTCAATTCTCATAAGAGTGGTACCAACTTTTATAAGAGTTAACGTAGCTTTAATTGCTCTGTGCGTTCACTCATTGGTGGTATTATTAACTACAGTTATAGAAAACAAAAATAAGTATAGATTTATTTATCTTTAGGCGTTTATTATTCTTAGACTTCTTATTCATGAGTAAAATTCTCAAATTAAGGGCAGTGAATATGAAGACAGATTCAAGGAAATATTCTAAATATATTCATAATATATTCAAGGACAAATGAGGTTGCTGGAGGTCATCGTTACATTTATTATAAATAAATATGTATTAAACAGATCCATTCATATTTGATATTAGGAAATAATTCCTTACAACAAACGACCAACTAAGTCTGACAGATGAACAACACTGTCGTACAAAGTTACGTAATTGTAAATAACAACTCTGGACTTGTCAGAATATTATAAATGAGTTAATTTACGAAATATTTATATATGTTTAATAATCAAGAAATAGAAGTAAGGACTAGTTTAACTTAAATTAAGAATTATTTATTTATTTACAAATTTTTAGCCTCTACTAAAAAGCGCGTTAGTTTTTTATAACCCCCGTCACTAAAAGAGGAATGTTATAAGTTTAGTGTGTTGCAATGCGCAACGTATCTCTTAAATAAATATACCAATTATGATATGTGTTTTTGTAATGAAAGCTGACATGATTGAGTTAGTTCTTAGCTACAATTTTTTATAGTTCTATTTGAATAATTAAAGAATTAATAATTAACTAACTATCAAATATGTCTACCAAAAATACCAACTATCAAAAATATCAAATATAGTTTATCTATATAACAATTTTTTATTGTATTTAATAGTTAGTTAATTATCAATTCTATAAATATTCAAATTAATAATACTGACTTATATATATCTGAGTGGTGCATGAGTAATAAAATTGAAATTAGAGATGTATAACGAACGACATAAATAAACAATAATAAATAAACTCATAATTATAAAAAAATCATCCAGAATCCAATTTTATTTTCCTACACGTGTGAAAGGTTTACAATTTCATCTCTCATTTTTTATTCACATTTCACATTCATTAACAGAAAAATGATTGTACATTCACTTTATTTATAAATAAAATGTCATATCGTACCTTCCTTTTGGATCGAATTGAGTCGACCTGCCTTTGTGTTAATTCTCCTATGGATCTAGAGCCCCATAGTACTCGGCCCATGGCTGAATAAAAGAACGTCATTCCCAACATTGGTACAGCATATGTGACTACGAAAAATAATACTTGATACCTGTAACAAACAACATATATGTATATATTTTAAGTAGGCACATAATTAAGGCTAAGAGACCAGTGTTTCTTTGTAGTGGATAATATCGATGTTATACCGAAGTTGACTTTAAATAAAGTCCTTTGCGTTTAGACTCACTTAATTCAGTCACCGAGTCTTATAAGATGTGTTTCGTTATAACACAGTGAAATTACAGGATACGAGTTAGGACATTTTATTCCTCAGCATTTCACATAATCATCACATATCAGCATCACATATAATATGATGTTTGAAGTGCTGTTATACATATATACAGACGACCTTTGCTCCTTGCAATTCCGTTAACCACCTGCTATGTTGAATTAAAATTTCTTCGGAGAAATTTGGACATGTTAAGAGCTACATTTAAATTAAAATATCAATAATTGAAAATGTTACTAACTACCTCATTTGAAATAATAATATAATTAAAGGTATGATATAAAAACAAGGTGCTATCATGAAAATTATGACAACATCATATAATAAGAGAAAGACGATCAAAAACACACTAAACATTTTGCGATCAAATAACATGTATTTTGTAACTTTACTATATGATGGACCCGTTTTTTAAGTTATTATTAATATAATAAAAAACCTTTTATTTTGATTTGTACTGTAGTCTTAAACGGATGAAGGTATAATAATCTAGAACCCATTTTCATTTCTAAAAACAAACCATGTGGCCCTATTATTGGAATATATTATTATTTTTATTTTTATTACTTTTATTATAACTTACGATTATTTCCTGAATATTGGATAATCGTAAAATGTATAATATGTAAACATATTTCGAAGAGATCAACTAAAAACGGTTGGTTTCCTTTAGTTTTACGGTTCCTTACAGTCAGTATTTCCCGATAAGATTTCTTTTGAAACTTTCGGTGCAAATCTTTTTCTTTTGATAGTCATTAATGGAATGAATTTCAAAATCTGCTCTCTCTATACAGAATATTAATATAGAATATTCACTAGCAACTCATTTATGTATTACGTTAGTGTTTTTTTTAATACGGTCAATATTAAAAATTTATGTCCTCATTTATAATGCAATTATTATTTTCCTTCTTTCTTTCTTTCTTTCTATTATGTATGTATCCTTTACTGAATTTACATAACTTCTAAAGGTCAAGAGCTATCGCCTAGCGACACATCCATTCAATAATGTAAAAAAGAAGATTCATTTTCTGAGTTAAATTCTTATTTTCCTTGTAGTATAAGTACTGGAACGTTCAATCCTCATAATATAATATCTACGAGTATCATTCTACCCATACTATAATATATAGAAATGTATATATAAATATTATTAATCTGAAAGTGTGTATGTCTATCTGTTTGTTACATTTTCACAACTTAAGATTTGAACAGCTTGCTATGAAACTTGACGTAAACATTGATTGTATAAACGTGGCGGACTTAATCATCTTACATCTCAAAAAAATCACGAGTGAGATATACAGCCATATTCAGAGACGTCAAATGGTCACTTAAGCACTTCCTTAGTGGAGATTTAAAAAACTGACCTACTCAGACATAGTTAATGGTTGATTAGTAACAGATAGTGTTTGAATGAATTCAAGCTGATATTTATTTTATGTCATTATTCTGACTTAGAAATGAATGATTCACTTAATGATGAAAGCAGTAACCATGTACATACATTGACTGAGGCTCGATTATTGAATAATAATTTTTCTTATCATCATCATCATCATGACTAGAAGACGATCGCTGCTGAACAAAGGCCTACCCCAAAAATCTTGACGACGATCGTTCTTGCACCGCTCTCAACCAACCAATTTATGTGTTCGCTGATAATTACAGTATAGCTTTTTGTGAAGAAGAGTTTTTAAAATTAATCAAATACCTTTTATAATTCGATTGATTACAAACAAGAAATACATGTTTCGAAATTAAATTAATAATCGATTTTGTAAAAAGTCGTTAGCGTAATTACTTCTCTATATGAAATTCAGACGTCAAACAGGAAAATTTAAAATAAGAAGCATGATACTTAGGATATCATACTAAGATAGTATGATGTCCTAAGTAGTCTAGCAATTTAGCACACTGGCTAATTTTCGATGGTGGCAGGTTCAATTCCTCGCACGGTATAAACATTTGTATTCATCATTGTTTATATCGGCCTGGATGTCTTCAATGTATATTTTATATGTATTTACAAAATAAGATCTGCTTGTTGCTTTAAAAAACATTTAGTCCGTACGAACGGTAAAGCATGAGTTATATCACGGGCGTCACACGATAAATTGATGTCATAGTGCTGTCATATATACGACGACTAGGTAATGGTGATAAGGACGGAATACCATCTTATTTCCCAAACTAATTTACATAAAACAATCTTCCTCGAACAGTAAAAACATAAATGAATAGAGTACATAAACATGAATCTGCAAAATTCAAAGGTTCCAGGGTTTTAGGAAGCTGTCACTGGTCCAGTTTAGTGATTTCGTGAGATAATAAATCTTCCTGCATTACACAAAACAAACCCAAGTGTTATCGACCCAAATGCATTAGCATTAATGCGGCTTTATGGTCTTGTTTCGTACTTGTAAGTTATGAATTTGAAGTGACCGTAATAATTTTGCTTTGCACTCATATACATAAGGTGCTATAAAATTATAAGCATTCCCTGATTCATGTTCATACCATACTGTATATATATAGTACGGTACGAATAAATTGTTTTTATGAATTTGTATACTAATATTTCATTATTTAACTAACAAGTAAAAAAAATGCTTATAAAACAAATTCAATTTTATATGCCTGCACAAATATTCATAATTTATGAATAATATGAATTTTAGCTAAGAAAAATCTTAAATACGTCAGCTATTTGACAATAAGTTACAAAATTTTTTCTAAGGGATGACAGTAGAAGAGTATGCTCGTTGCGCTAACGGTATACGCTGGCGGGGTCAGTGGAGGATGATAAGATGAGTGTGAGGTCAGGTCAGTTAGCCCATCCTGGCAAATTCACAAGGAATTTAACATAATTGTTTCCAGGGGGAACTGTTTGCAGACAAACCTGACATGATACGTTGCTAGCAATGGGCTAACAAGCACTATTAATCCATATTGCTAACAATTGCCTTGCCCAAATGATGGTATAATTCCAAACTATTCGGTTTGAAACTTTGGGAAGACAGACTTACACGTCAAACTTCGAACACCTCGCTTTTTGCATTATCTAATAAAATTGTATTGAATAAAAAAATATTTATTCCCTACTATCTGAATAGTTGCTTATATGAATAGTAAATAAGGTCATTGATCCCTCACTATCATAGCATAGTACGACCGAATCGCCGAGAGCTATTTCTAAAGGCTAATTTACACGAAACGGAATATTTGCATTTGTTATCATTATTTCTTTGTATGAAAAATAATATGATATTATGATGGAATTTCGTGTCCATAATATCATATTTTTTTTCTATATCGAATACTATGCCATGTAGATGGGACGGGTATATATGTAATTTAATAGAATCTTATATAAACATTGCCATGGAATATTGTAAATCTGAATTATTGACAAAGTTTAACTAAACCTTTTTTGTCTTCAATCATCTTCAAACAAAGGAGATTCTCATAACTTTACATGAAATTTCGTTCATTTCCTTTCTTGAACTTGACGCAACTTCCGTTGATATATTTTAGATTCTATACCCAAAATTACTAATTCGAATTCGAACAGTAAATATACCAAAATGTACATATATTTATCAAACATAATAAAAAAAAACTTTATTTTGTTTTTCTTTGTTATGTATCTGGAATGACAAACAAGATGATGCTCCATATATTTTGAATTTGAATTTAATCATTGTCATTCTGGAGGACTATCATACTTTTATTCTGTAATTTCTGCTAATCTCACCCTACAACCAAAAACAGCTTATAATGTGAGCTGTTTCGCGGCTGAAATACTGACTGAGGTTTTAATCATACAGATGACTTTGTACAAAGTGTTGTTTTATTCAGTCTTCTGACTTATATTCATATGATTAACACTAGTGTCACTAGAAGAGTTTAAATAATGAAGACGATTTGTCAAACGTAACCTACTCACAAACTTACAATTTTATTTTTATTTGTCTAATGGACTACAGGTTGTGATTGAAATTGGGTTCATCAATCCTTTGTTAGCTGATGTAATTTTAGATCAATTTCAGGTATTGTATATCACGCACCTTAATGTGTAAGTAGTACTTGGGATGATGAAGGACTAAATATATTTTATTTTAGGTCACAGTGGTCTAGCGATTTAGCAAACTACTTTACTTCCGATGGGTGCAAGGTCAATTTCTCATCAATCCATACATGATACAAACAATAATTTGTTTGCATCGTTCTGGGTGTTAAATAGTATAGTATTTATTTGTGTATTTATGAGCTATTACGATAACACAAGGCCTACTTAGATAGATGGCGCTTTATGAATTCTACAGAGTTATTAGTACATATCTAAAATATATTAATCGTTTATGAATTTAATAGTTAATTTACCTACAATATAGTAAGTACGTACTATACTTGTACCTCTGTCTCACCTATTTCAGCCCCAAAGCAGTTTGCTTTATAAGACGTGTTCCACTTAAAGTACAGTGTAATCACAGGATAGACAGACATAACATTTAAGTCCTGTAGAATAACAACACATAAATGGTCACATCACGTGATATCCATTTGAACTACTCATGTACCTATAAAGACATCGGTTATCACTTAACCGAGGTCCATAACGTGAGCCGCCAGCTTGTTTACCATTCAATTACATAAAAAGCTCATATTGCACTATTAAACAAATACTTCTGAATTTCTACAATATTATGTTAAATCTATATACTACACAATATACACTTCCGATTAAAATTCGTTGGAGTTGCTCCTATGAATTGGCAGTAATCCAATGCAAAACGTGTTCTGCAGTAAGTGCA